GGACACGCATGCAGCGGTCTTTTCAAAATAAAGTTAATAAAATTGTATTAAAAGCTTCACGTAAAAGTGTTCACCCTGGTTTTGTTGTTTACAGCACATGGTGTTGTGCTCATGAGCATCACTAAGCAGCATCTAATCCAATGAATCTGCTTCCTTCAATGTAGGTCCCTGTAAAGTGAGCTTGTCTCCTCCAATCAGCTGAGAGCTCTTGTATGCCACAGCACCGCTCCCCAGAGCCTACTCTCAGACAGGAAGAGGAAATAGTTAAGGCCAATAGAGGAAACGACCGGTGGGATCAGTTTCACAGAGGAGAGTACATAGGAGGGTTTTACTAACGGGAGTAAATGTCACAGCGAATGACTTGCTTCTTTAAAGATCAGTAGTCAAATCCCACCTGCTCTACTATACACACAAATACCACTCAGTGGCATATTCACTATACAGTTTATATTATACTAAAACATGGCATGGTGATATTATGCTATATGTAATTACATTTTTTCGTGGTGAAATATTAGATAGTGGGTGCTCCGTGGAATAGCTTATCAAAGCCAGTACCATGTTCTCACAACATTATGAGTTTAAATCTGGCAGCTGGCCAAAGCTGGCTTCCGCCTCCTTTCTCTCTACCCCCTCTTGTCACACTCCAGTGTATACTACCCAATAAAGCAAACATGCCATAAAAAATAATCTCCAGATTCTTGAAATTACAGCGCTCTCATTTTAGTTTTTTAAGAGTTAGAAAGTATTAGGCAGTTACAAAATATCATGTACTTCATCTGTTGTGCGTCAAGTGTAATATGACCAGGAAGAGGCCATGTTTTCTCCTTCTAAGTGATTGGTCTCACGCTGTAATTGAAGCCAACAATTAGACCAATCAGACAGATATTTACAGGGTGTGTTAAAATATACTTACAGAAAAGGGCCCCTTATTGCAATTTTAACAGTAGTAAGCCTTGATTCAACAGCATTCGGTGGAAAGTTACATGTTAAATACAAATAATCAACCAAGTAGCTTATGAGGTCAAACACCCTTCTCAATCAATTAAGTTAAACAATATGGCACAGTGTTTCTGTGAACAACAACTCACAATCATCAATTTAAAAATATCTGGTGTACTTGAAAACCACCAGCAAACCACCCACATAAATTTTTTTCAAAACCTACTTCTTCCTTGTGTGATATTATATATTTCTTTTATTTTTTCACATCAGCCTTGATGTCTTAAAAATGTCTTTTTAGACTACTCTGCTCCTCGCAATCAGATGAGGTCACAGCAGCGCCGTCTCAAAGAAAGAAGGCATTTTCACTTCGATTTGTTACAAAACCAGCTAATAGCGGTCGGTTGCGGAGCAAATTCTGTGTCAAAGGCAGCTGGAATGGTTCCATCAACTGGAGGATGTCCTCTGGCTAGGGTTAATGGGAGTGGAGTGGGGGGAAAGGAACTGCGGAGAGGGCCGGAAGAACAAAATAAAGAACTTTTCAGCTTGGATTTCTCCAAGTGAAGCAGGGTCAAAAAACAGGGGTCAAAACCACAATGACATCCTAATCTGGCGTGCGCTTGCAATTTTGTGTGTGTGTGTGTGTATGTGGGTGGGTGGATGGGGGTGCATGTAATCCATTCCGTGCGGCTCACATCATGTCTCATTTCAACCCAGAATCACAGACAAAGGTCATCGTTTGACCTTTTCACAGCTCAGAATTGCTGCAGCACACTCGGCTGATTAGTGTACACACAGACACACGCAAACACACATATACAAAAACTGATACAAAGACGCACACTCACTCAGAACAGAAAAATGAAAGTAATACAGCTCTGAGCTGAAAGCACACCAAATCTTCTATTTGTAATCTTGGCCAACTGCACTGTGTAGGTTCAATTTCCAAACATGTTTACTCTTGGATCCAAAATCAAAGACAGGGACCTAGTTTCTTTGTTATTTAAATGAATTCAAGTATTTTCTGGCATTCTTTCCCTTTCTCTCTCACTCAATCGATGGACAATTAACTTTGTCTTAATGCCACCACACAGGCTTGTTTTTGTTATGTGTAAAATGTCATGTTTTTTAATGATCAATATCATGCATTTTCTGTAATTACTTGAACATAAACTGCTGAAATAAAGTGAGTGCCTGGACATGGATTTTGCATTTGTTACACAAGAATGGAACCACTGCAGCTGAGAAAACCTCACCTCTACCTCAAGGATCCTAGCCTATTACCAGCTATGCACTTCCATTTACACATAGTATATATATCGACTCTATTAAGTTTCCGAATAATTGGAATGCTAGTTGGTAAGGTTGTCCTTTAACTGTACTTGTCAACTAATAGCCGGGTTTCTTGTTAAAGCTCATTTCCCCATACCAAACTGAAATGTAAAAGTGTTACATAAATGTAAGTATGGGAGCAGGGAGCTTATTAGTCCATGGAAGGAGGGGATTTAGTAGGGTCTGTAGTTTGATGACCCGTAGACAGACCACAATGTGTTGGCATACAGCCTGCTGTTATTCTGGTACATAAAATGCTACATGGCTCTAACGCAGGAAGGATTTTTTGATTTAAAGTAAAGACAGCGGGATGCAACGTTGATGCAATGGCTGCTGAAGGTACTGTGGCTTTTATGCGGTGTTAACAAGCATCTGTGTTGATTTAAACATTTTCCCTTAAAGTAGCGAGCATTCCCAACAATAAAGAACACAAAGAAAACCAGCTCCCTGGTCACCGCAGCAGTCGTCATAGCAATCATTATGCACAGGTGAAACAGGGCTTTGGCCAATCAGCGTGCTTGGGCAGAACTACCTGGTGAATAAATGTCAGCGAGGGTCAATTGCCGGCACATCATCAGTGATGATGAAAACACACCATTACTGTCGCAGAATGTCACCGTGGCCATGGATCTCAGCCTCTGCTAGTTAGAGTGAATAATGTTTGTTCAGTAGGCTGCGCGGTCTGTGTGTGTCAGCATGTTAAGTGAGGAAATAAGAGTAAGTGCTTTTTTCAGTGTGAGACAAAAGGCATGCTGGCTGAAATGTTCACTCGGTATGAAAATTACTATGCTAAGACTAACGATTTCCTTTTTTGACAACCTGCTTTTGTGTTCAAAATGGCTTTTTGCTTGGCTATTTGTCTTGGTGTGCTCAATATTCAAGGCTGTCTAAAGGATGGCTTAACTACATCTCAGTAAATCACAGTATAACTCCCTAGACAAACACAGCTACACCACTGCCAAATGGCATCAACTAGTGCAGATACTAAATACGTCTATTCACATTTGTGAACTACTAGTGGCCGATACGATTCAAAAAAGGATGCTTTTTGAAAATACTGTAGTACTGTCCATTCTTCCCTGTGCTGTTTTTTGCATTAACGTGACTTTAATTTCTAAAAAACAAATACTTGCAGAGGAAACAGATCTGTACAGCACATTGTTCTTTGAGTTCCTGATATGTTCTGAGTTTTATGTATTCTATACAGTTCTGTCCTGTTCTGTCCTGTAGGGATATGCTGTCAATGTGGATACCTTCATTAAAACAGCTTGCTGTTGTTTTGTAATTGTTTTGCTCTGTAGTGGAAGTGGTACAAACCATTGATGTGTACAAAAGTAGACACTAGTAGTAGTAGTAGTAAACACTCAAGTGCAATCAGTCCTACTTATAAATTTTAAAAGTTATCTAATTCTTTCTAAACTCTTGGGTATTGTAAAATTGTGCAAAAATGCACAATACTTTATGAGTTGCTTATCTGTTGTGTAAAATCCACTATTTTTTCTACATACTAACCTAATCTATTCCTCAACTACATATATAATGTAGCATTATCCTCTGAAATACAACGTAAATATGAATTTGCACATGAGGGAAATACTGTACTAAAGCACAGTGCTCGAGTAAGTGTATGTTACTACACTTGTCCTCTGCTCCACATGGTGGTTCTCTTGTTGCCATTGCTGTGCATTTGGATATTAATGCAGTGAAATCAGGCGTTCTGCTTCATCTTGTCTTCTCTTCCCACTCCCTGTTCTGTCTGATCTTTCCTTTCCTGTCCAGTTCTGCTGTAATCTCTCCCATCTCGTACTGTTCTTTCTCCTGCTCCACTTTGTTCTGCTCTGTTCTGATCCAGGGCAGGGCTGTTAGCCAGAGTCACTCCATGCAGGCTGATAGATCCCTCTGGCTGCAGAGTGGATGGGAAACACATGGGCAGCCTTCACTCAACTCAAAAACAACTGCTTGAACCCAGCTTCCCAATGGAAATCTTCTACAGAACATCATGTTGAAACTTGGCAGGACAAGTCTAGATCCATAACTGTGGAACAGGCCCTTTGTTGTACTGAGGATTTGGGTTTGCACAGCTGGGTTTGTGTGCATAGAAAATATACACTACACTGTGAATGTCCAATCTGTGAACTTGCACTGCATTCAAATGTACTGTTTCTATGAGTGTGTGTGTGCTGAGAGAGATAATATGAAAATATAGAAACACAGAGAGTGAGATTTACCTAAAATACCTCTCATGAATAATGGAATGGAACAATGCGACCCATGCAGCAGGTATGTTGGACCAGAGGCACACCACACTATTGTTTACACACACACACACACACACACACACACACACACACACACACACACACACAGAGTTCATCCCCTAAGATGACCTCTCAAATCTCAGTACCACTAAAATATCAAAATACAACCCATGGAAAAGATCTAGATGAAATCCCTTTCCTGCTGATATTTAAAATTTTATTCTTGATGCTACATCTGATGTGTGACATCCGCGTATCTATATGTAACTGATATATTTAAGCATATTTACTTATTGAGTTATGGTAATCATTTCCATTTTTGCTCACGTCATGTAAAGGAGACTTTAGGCTTGGTTACAGCTGAATGTCTTGGCCAATTTTTCCACACAGGATACAGCACATTGGGTGTCTGGTTCTGTAACTGTGGTGTGTGTGTGTGTGTGTGTGTGTGTGTGTGCGCATTGGTACCTGTTGTGGTGGTGGTCGAGGCTGCAGGTAGGGGCTCTGGGTCGGGCCTGGAGGCGTCTGCTGAGGGGGGCTAAAGTATGGAGAGGTCCCCTGCTGCCCCGCCTGCTGCTGCTGCTGCTGCTGCTGCTGCTGGCTGTAACCGCCCATCCCCTGCTGGCCATATGGTGCCACCTGCTGAAACGACCAATCACATCATGGTTAGAGGGGAGATATTAAGGTCAGGCCTGAGGTTGTAGCAAAACTTGTACTTTAAATGAAAAGCAATACAGGGAGGCTGTCAGGTGCAATTAGTAGGCTATCACAGCAGGTGCCAGGTGACGTACTGTAATAGTCAATCACATAAAAGCTGGAGAGTCTTCTAAACTACAATCCTCTTCGAATGATTGGGGTATAAAAACAAAAACATCCCACGTGGGCCTACACAAACTGGCCTCTATCCGTTTCCCACTTCATCTGATTGTCCCTCAGCTAGAGTTCTTAATTTAGCTCAGACCAGGCTGACACCCGTCTCCCAGCAGTCCTCTGCCTAATGAACTCGCACTGCAGAAAGCTCTAACTTTATGTCCTCTGGCTTGCCAAATGCATCCTCCTGCCTACATTATCTCCGTCTCGGTCAGCTCACAGATGGGATGAGGTGTGTTGGATATTACTGCTGGGCCGTCCCAGGCCGTAACCCTAATGAGGGACACATGGATGAGCCGGGGCATTCCAGAGCAGTGCAGTTAAAAAACTAACTCGCGAGGGCAAAGCCACGCCAAGTGCCGATGTTGCATTACACGGTGGTTATAAGAGAAAATGTGAACAGGGAGTGCGTGTAACAAGCTGGCACCAATACAAATATAGTCTAAATCCCTCCTTGTCATTTGTTATGACTACAGACAGCGCCAGGTGCTCCTCACTCCTCTCAGGATTTCCTATGGAGGCTGGGGTTTTCTCATTCACACAGACATGCACGCCCACACGCACGCACAAAAGCCCGAGTACAGACTATTAAACAACATTTACGATGCTGGTGAAGCAATTCGACAGCACTTTTCATGTCATATTTTTTTCCCCATCCTGTCATGTTGCTTTTTTATTCAGTGACGACCAAAAGTGCCACCACAAACTCATTAAACAAGCACGCAGGCTGTAATTTGGGGCGTGTGCAAAGCTAACAGTCCACCTCCAGCTTTTACCCTGAGTCCTAAACTTTAAAAATGTCCCTTTAAATCTTCCTTGGCAGGCTTGGCAAAGTAAATGTCTCTCTCTCTCTCTCTCTGAGTGATTTATATCTCAAATGATAGTATTATAGGGGGCTCCGACGTGACGTAACTACTCTACTACAGTCTTGTCAGATCAAAAGCAAAGAGCACACATCTAGAGCTGTAGCTTTACAGTGACTGTTATGAGTGAGAAAACGCACTCATAAAAGCTCTGTTGAAGCTGATGGCTGGTGTAAAATATAGTGAAATCTGATCAGGCTGCAGAGGGCAAGTGAAGATTTATATATTTGAAATAGTTTTGAAGAGTAACTTCCTTTGAGTGGGTGTTAAAGAAATCTTCTCTTGGCGCTGGCAGAAGCTTTTTGACTCTTTGAATAGGGATGATTGGACAATGTAGAATACTTTTCTCCTCGTTGGAAATTTGATTAGAAAGGACAGGTCTGTGTGTGTGCGGTGTGCTCAGAGTGTGAGAGTGTCATTAGGCCAATGAGACAGACAGACAGGGTGAGATCAGTCTAGCTGGAAGAGAGGTTAATAGCATGGCCCTGCTCATGCCAACAGCACCACTGGATTCATTACTGCCAGCCAGGGCAACACGCACACACACACACACTCACTCACACACTCACACACACACCTAATACTCATATACCAATGTACTCAAATGAATGCACATAAATTCAAGTTGTCTGTGGGTAAGGATTTTTTTAAAGTAAGAAAGACAAACAAATGCTCTCTCTCTCACTCTCTCTCATAAACACACACACATACACACTGATGTCATTAGATGTGGATCAAAGCCACTCTGATAAAACTGCAGCAACTCTATCCAGTGATCAGTGATGACAGGCTGGTGTAACACAGTGGGTCTCAACTGGAACACCACTGTTCTGGGATTGGCGAGGATTAGGTCGCCATGGAGATCGAGACCAGACAACCGTGGGTGGGTTCCTTTCTCAGACAAATACAATGACAGGCAGACAGACAGATATGGGCAGACAGTGACAGATAGACAGAGGAATAGATAGATAGATATAGTCAGGGAAAATGATAAAAACGCACATAAAAGAGTTAACTCAGGTTTGTGCCCCCCCCACCAAAAAAATCCTCTTAGTGCTATAAATAACCCTGTCACAAAGCTTGAAAAGCTAATGAATAAATAATAAACTACATGCATTTCTGTTGTCTTTAAAATTGCCAGTTTGAGTTGCTGAGATTTTATATGTAAAAATACACCTGGGACACAGCGAGCAAGCATGCTGGAACCGGAAAGCTTGAACACACCAACGTTACGTCTGCCGTCTCACTTTGCTTCATATCAGGATAGAGTGACTGACTGGATGGGTAAAAATAAAATGTTTATAATGTCATGTTATGGGATTCTTTCTTTCTCCTGGATTTTTAATTATGTAAAATTCAACAACTCTTCAATTCCATGCCACTGTTGTGCGAATATACCAGGTCCATACAGTTATTATTACTGATTGGAAGAGACCTTTTTCATTTAGGCATGTCACAGCACGAAAAGCCCAGGTGTCATTAATAACATTAACGATGGCTGCATACCATTTAGTTTTGCCAGTTGCAGGGCTCTTGCATGCTGGGTTACTGCCGTGGCTTACTGGGATCCTTAAATGGAAGAGAGCCAATGTTAATGTGATTCGTACTGCAACACCTGTGCTTCTCTGGGTACAACAAGCCAAAATGTCTGCTGTGAAAAACACCTATTAGAACAAGTTTGTGACTTTTTTGCGATTGGCAACAAATCCGGCGACTTTTTCCCGCAATCACGTTAATTTATTTATTGTATGTGGTGACAATTCAGTGTGGTTGATAATTCCTTTTAAATGAACTCTCTTGTCTAATCATCACTTGTATCATGATTAGGTCCTCCTGTACGCAGATGGCTCCCCTTCCTCCACTGCATCGAATTTATACTTGATTGTCCAGAAACAAAGAAACTCTGTGCAGAAGAAGTGAGTCCTTCCTGTTTGTGTGCAGCTACATAAACAAGTACGTGCGCAATAGCAACTCTGTTTGCACACTCATTACATGAACAGTTAACATCAAAATACCATTTTCAGAACACACAATGCATGGGGTATAACAATGCACAATCACACTGTCCAAGGGAAACCACTGAAGCTGTTTGCAGAGGACCAAGAAAATTAGCACTAGACAGGAAACTTAACACACCACATTTACCAGCAATGGATGAATCAGAGGGGGTTAACCAATTTATTGTCATCATTTAAACCAAGAAGATGGGGTACGTTCAACAACATTACTCTCACTGTAAGAACTGTGGCGTAAAAGTTTGAGGCAAGTTTGGTGATTGCCCATTAACCATCAGCAGATGCATGCCGTACTTACAATATGTCTGCATGAGCTGTTTTTGTAAAGTAATACTACAGAGCTTCTAATACATGAGGTAGTTGTTATTATGGCCAAAGGTGGTTACTGTAAATGCAGCCCTAAAGTGTGGTTTACACTTTTCTCCTCATTGTTGACATCTAGCGCCATTTCAAGCTGCCAGCACCTACTTTAAATGGAAAAACTTTTACAGGGGATCTTTAAAGAACGTCGGTGTATTCAAGACAAGAGACTGACAGATATGCAAGCAGGTGGACAGGCAATCAGGTAAGCAAGCAGAAGAGACAGACGGGAGACAAACGAAAAAAGGGACAGAAATACTGCCAGCCAGTCAGTCAGTCAGTCAGTCAAATAGGCTCAGAGACAGCAGGCAGGCATGAGGTCTAACAAGTAGCAACTTGTCACAGTGGCTTTGGGAGGGAAGAAAGAGTCATTCAAATGCAGCTTCTGTTTGATTGCTGGGGGTGACTGTATGAATGTACTGTACATACTGAGTACACACCGGCTCACTGAAACCTGATTCTCTTTGACTGAGAATACACTTAGTGATAAACAGACCTGCTGTTCTGTTGCGTATACCAATAGAAATAACTGCTGGAAGTAGAAAATAAGACCATTTTCTGCCTTTTTTCCTTCCACTCAGGTGTGTGGAAGCAGACAAAATAACAGTGTGATTTATCCAGAGTGTCTTGGCAGGCACACAGTGTCAAATAAATGTCTGTAATGAAATGACAGCAGATGTGAAGTGCTGTAGGGAGAAATGACGCAGAATAGACGTCCTGCGAAGCAAATAATCCACCATAAACTGCAGAAATGGTGTGATGAAAACAAAAGCCTTGGCGGCATATTAAGATACAAAGACACAAACATTGAGAAGAACTCAATCAAAAATCTATCAAAACAAGAGTCATATAAAAAGACAGACAATATCTTCCTGCTCTGCACACAGAGGGAATAAATAGCCTCCCTAACCCTCATCCATGGCAGTGGTGTGTGCGTGTGTGTGTGTGTCTTAAATCAGCCGTTTAAAAACCTTGCATGGAACAAGGCACTGCTTGTAATTCAATTGGGCCAATGAGCAATAGACAGGAATTTTCATAATTCTGTCAGAGTGCCGATACGGCTGGCTGGCAACTGGGACCACAGGTTGGCCGTTTTGAGTGACAGATGGGCTCAGCCAACCAGAGCGCTAAGCAGAGCCACCTCCCCGACCCCTAAACACACACACACACACTGAGAGGCATGACAGGCACACACAAGCACCACATCAGCATTAGCATGCTGTCATGCTAGTTGGCCACCACAGACCAAAGAAGTGCCAGCTTGAAATAGTGAAAGAAAGAGAGAAAGGGTTGCAAGTAATAAAGAGTCGGATGAGCTGACAAAGGGTAAAACAGACGAGAAGCAGCATAAAGCATGATACAGACATGTGAAGAGATACAGAGACGGTGGCAAAGAAAGATGTTTAGAGAGACAGAGATGGAGAGATAAGGAAGGAGGGAGATAGAGGAAGGGTGCTCCAGACTGAGATACTTAAAGGGATGGATAAAGTGATGTTTCACACGATAAAGATAGAGAGAGACAGATAAAGACGGT